GCAAGCAGCGCGCACGCGACCCCGCAGCCCGGGCGAACAATGGCCGCGGCCGGCCCGCAAAGAAGGGCGCCGTTTGAGCGCTTCTTCTGTAAAGAGGACGCGGGCCCTCCAGCTAGTCGCCCACCGCCCACGGTCCTCGCCGTCTCCCGTCGCCTGCCGCCCGAGCCGGCCGGACGCGGCCGGCGACGCGCAATCTGGACTCGCCATTGGGATTAGACGACGGCCGAGAGCGCGCGCGGAGGCGGTGGCGGTGGCGGGAGGCGAAGAGGGGAGGAGAGGCGGGGGTGGTTTCTTCCGGCATTCAGATGCGCCGCGGGAAACAATGGCGCCCCCAACCCAGGAGAAGGTCGGCGTTGGGGCCTCAATGAAATAGGTTGGTTTCGCTGGCAACTGAAACATTTGCATACTAATCGGAAGTCATTGTGTTTTAAATGTTACGGAAGAATTCTTAGGCAAAAATGTAATAGTATTCAAAAGGTAGAACAGTACGTCACCAAAGTATCTGATGGAAAATGTCTATATAAGCTGCATGGTCAGTGACTGGGATTTTTCTATGGAGATTGTTGTTATAATGCACAGCTGGCGTTTTTTTGTTATAAAAATAATGTATGCGGAATTTAAACATTATTTGTTGATTTATAGATGTTTAAAATTAATTTGATATATTGAATGACAATCCTTGCTAAAGAATATTTGCAACAACTATATAGAGTAACTACGTGTAGATGACTTCTGGCGGAAGGGCTATAACTCCATCAGCCGACCACCCTCAGGTGCGTCACTCAGGAAGGCAGGAACCTCTCAGATCATGCACTCATTAGTCCACTAAATATTTACGTTTTTGTTTCATTTCACAATGAACGGAAAAGCTTTTTTATGTTTAAATATATATATATATATATATATATATATATATATATATATATATATATATATTATTTCAATGTATAAATAAATATGGATAATTGAGAAGAAAATATTTCTAATAGAAAATTAAACATTTGAAATGCATTCTATCTTTCTTGGATAAAAGAAAAAATGCGCGTTATACCTTTTAAATCGGATCATTTTTTCAGAGGATTAACTTCTACTGTTTGTAGAATATGTTTACATTAAATTCCAATATGTTGAAAATAAACATTATGCACTGTGTTGCATTGTCGTCTGTTAAAAATGAATTGCAACGTTGAAAAATGTTCCTCTTCGTTGTACTTAGGAATTGATGAGACAATACGTTAACATTTTGCTCATATCACATTATACAACTGTTTATGAGAACTATGAATCCAAATTTTGCTACGAAGAAAAATATTTTCCTTACGTACTATTAGATTTTTACAGTTTATAGTTAACTAAGAAAAATTCTCATCTGACGTATATGAATGTATTGCAGGGTTTCTGGCATTTGTCGACCCCAAAAATCCCCTTAAATTAACCGAAAATATTACCTTTGTTTCCAGAGACAGAATTTGAGCATTTTACCACTTCACAACAACAGATTTACAAACAGGATTTACTCACACCAAAATAACTTTTAAACAATTAAAATATTCATAATTTTGATCATTAGTAGTAATATTATCGTTGTAACTGTTATTGTTCTTTTTACCCTTTTCCCTTATTATTATCATCATTATTATTATTATTATTATTCACTATGTGTAAATTTATATCAGGTGACATTATCATTCTGACTAATACATAATAAAAATTGGGATATTAAACAATGGATATTATCAATGAATTGAATTTATTAAAAGTTTTAATTTAGTGCAAAGTGTATCAATGAAAGTTTAAATGTAATGAAATGCAGGTCCAATATAAACAACGGAGACGTTTTTTTAACTTTTCAGTTGATTTAATTCTCACGTTCACACCCATTTTGAAGGAATCAATTTAACAAATCGCATTCAAAGATTCAAAGTCGATTTCACGAACACTCAACGTGAAGAGAAGCAGGAAGAAGTAGAATATCGAATGAGAGTGGGAATTGCATAAGTATTGATTCCACCATTATGGAATTTGATATGAAATGAAATTAATATAGTTCTCGTATCTGAGAAAAGTAGTACAGAAAATCGGAGGAATTCTTTTTTATCGTTAGAAACGTAAATGTTATTAAAATTTGTAAGAAGAATGAATTGTGTATTTTTTTGTTTTAGAAGTCATGCGTTATTATTTTGTTGCAATGAACCTTACTGGCATTTATTAGCGTACATTCAAAACCTTCTGATGACAAAAAATACGTAGGGCTATTTATGTTTACCAATTTATAAGAGCACTAAAAATTTCAAAGCAGGTATTATCGCGAATTGGTGATAAATAATACAATATATAAATAATAAGGCTTATAATATCAAGGCATTATACTATCTTTTGCAATCCTCATTAAATTTAACATCTTACTAGTTAAGTCATCACATTTGAGTAAGGAAATTTAAATGTTCAATTACAATAAAAGTTTAATACGTGGTAATGTGATTTCAGTACAGTATTTTCACGATTTTTTCTGTTTGAATGAAAATCTCTTTGCACGAATTATAACAGAAAATGAGACACGGTACAAAACAAAAAGAAAACGTTGTTAAATGCTCAAAACCTGTTTTACGTGGTGCATTGCGTCAGTTCGAATGTCCGAGGGCGGATTCCAGAACCAGCGTCCAGTGGCCGGCGAAGCCTCCTTTGGTGAAGCGGGGTCACATCGGCAGCTCCGAAGAATGCTATCGCGGGAAACGGTTACAAGCTATCTTCGGGGGAAGGTGGCGAGCCGGCAAGTGGCCAAAACCAGAAACGCGAGTAACCACGGTGGTCAAGGAGGCGCAGACCACCGCCCTCGGCCGCCCTCTCGCCGCCCGGCAGAGCAGGTTGAGCTGGTGTCCAGGAGGTCACGTTGGCCGGCGCGTCTTCTCACGGCGGCGCGGCGCGAGTTCACCGCTGGCGGCGGCGGCGGCCGTCGCGGAGGGCGGCCCGTGCCCTGAGGAGAGGTAGTGCTCTCGCGCCGCCCGCGGGCCACGCAGTCGCCGCCACACGCCGTCGGCGCCGCGGAGCACGCATCTACGCTCGGTCCGACACGGCTGCAGCCGCTTCTCGTCGCCACGGGGTGGTAAATGCATTCGCTCGCTTCTCCCTCCCGCGCCGCGACATCCCACGACTTCTTCTTCGACTGAAATAGTAGCTACGTACCCCCCTCCGACACCCCTTGTTCCTACCATTTTGATTGCTTTCTATACATTTTATTTCCAATAATCTTAGATTTTATCATTTCACTTCTACTTATTTATACTTGTTTTGTGCTTGCTTACTTGTTTTCTACCTATTATTTAAATTCGAAACCCCCAAATTAAACAAATATGTTTACAGCTGAAAGGAAATATTGCATTCATCAATACGCTTCAATCTTCATTTTAGAGTTTTTTTTTTTTTTTTGTAAATTTTCTATTTGTATTATAACACTATCATCCGTGTAAATTGATTAATGCTAAAAAAACGTAATTTCGAGGAGTCCACAGAAGAACCGCGTTTTATTTACTTACTGAAAATAGTATCGCTGTTAACGCTCCAACGCTAATTTTAACTTCTACTTTACTTTATGCAAAAATTTTGTTGTTTTTCCTTTATTACCTTTTAGAAAAATCGCACAGGAAAAATCTTTCTGAAAAAATCGACAAAGCATCTGTTTTGTTATCGTAGTAAAAGAGCTAATATCGCTTTACTGTGAAGTATTAAATGGTAAAAGGAGGACTAAGGAATGTAAGATAAATATTTCGAATAAAATATTCCTTTCGTGTTCAAAACATAAGTTAATAAAATCCTCAATGCAGTAAACTAGTTTTAATACGAGGCATAAATGTAATTGATTATTGTAAGTGTTTAATTTAGAGAAGAACTGATTCGGAAAATTAGGTACGCATCAAGTATCTAAGCACTATATTGCTTTAGACCGAAAAGCTTTCCAGTGAGAAGAGACTGAAATACATCCCTGCTGTTTTGTATTCATATCAAAGCATAGAACTATATATTCATGAACGAAATATTAAACAACATTAAACAAGACAACTTAAGAAACAAACTTTTGAAATGAGCAATGCCCGTTTTATTTTCCGTAGCACAAAAATGCAACCTCACGAAACATCAAATTTTCAATTTACATGTTCAATGTGAATCATCTTGTAATAACGTATATTTATTACGTGTAAATGCGCTAAATGTACGGTATTTTCACACACAATTATATCACTTGGTTGTTTTGGGGGCAGCAAATTAATATTTTTCCATTAATCATTTCAATAGATTGCCATCGTGTGGGTTCCGCAAAATAATTAAATTTGTAGAGAGAACAATTGCTTGTTTGTCAGCTAAACGTGTAAGGTTTCTAGAGAGCAACTTTATACGTTTATATTTTGAACAACACAACGTCATTTAATTTGCCTGCTGTCATAACGTTTGTATATTGCCAGTCTCTAATTAAACTGACTGAAAATGTTGAATAAAAAATACAAATTTATCGAAGCAAAATAATGTTTAATTTATCTGTTAATGATAATTTCACTTACACATTGTTTATTGTGAACTTTTTTATTTTCATTTTAAGTTTATTTTCTTTAAAAACCTTATTTAACCTCTGAAATGCAGGGAAATGTGTAAATATGTGGTTGGTTTCTGATGTCTGTTAATGAAATATGGTACTGAAAGCACAATTCTTGTATGATTATTCGTTGTGGTTTATTATTATTATTATTATTATTATTATTATTATTATTATTATTATTATTATTATTATTATTGTTGTTGTTGTTATTATTATTACAATATTTTATTTACATTGTAACCAAAGACGCTTTTAATAGTTAAATATTACTTAGTTTTACACTGTTCTCCATTCACTTTTCAAATCAGCCAGTTAAAATGAAATAATGTTTTATTATAAAATGAGATAAAAATGAAAACATCAGTTTATAACGCCAATCTATAATTTTCTGATTTATTGTTGTTTTTAATAGATATACATAGATATGCAGCGTGCAGAGGGCCTGAACCCCGGACGCAGCCATTCCGTCTGCGCCCAAGGGCCGAACGCGGCGTGCGGGCCCGCCCCGCCCCGCCCAGGCAGGCGGCCGGGGGCCCGCAACGGCGATGGCGGCGACGACGGCGAAGGCGGCGTGGGCGGTCGGAGCCGGCCGGAGCGCCAGCCGCGCCCAGCCGGGATACGGAATGCGCAGGGGCGCAGAGGTGAGGCCCCGAATGCGATTTCAACTTCAAGAAAACTTCTAACGGCGCCCCGCACGCAAATATATTTCCGCGTTTCCCCTACGACCTCCATTAATGGGTTCTTTGATTTAATATCGCCAAGTTATTCAATTACAAATTAAAAGCAGTCGTGCGAGCGTTAACTTTTCAGTTGCATTAGCAAAACAATAAACATAAATCGCGGCATATAATTTAGGGAGCGGCTACGCGTATTACGATCCCCCCTGCGCGCACGGCGCAGCATCTTAAACCCGCAACGTACGGAAGACCCCGGCTCTTAGAACGAACGATAGCACCGGGTGCCAACCGGTGGAGGCGGCGGCGGCGGGGGCGAGGGCAGCGACTCGTAGACGCTGGGGAGGCGATAGTGAGGTCGCGTTGGGAGAGACGAGGAGGTGGTCGCCGGGACGGGGTGAGGACTCCCGAGCAGGGCCAGACGCAGGACGGCTAAGGAGGACGGAGGTGGCGACGGGAGAAACCGTCCTCAAGCGCAATATCCCATCGCCTGCCTTTGCGGCGCTCTCACACGTTACGCCGACCCCACACGTCGGGACTTCGAAAAGGTCGTAAGCGCACGTCCTCAAATATCGTAAAATCGTGCCGACGGATTTTATTATTTCTCAGATTAAACTCGGAGCAATCAACGCCGAAACGGCTCGGATAACTTTTCTAGGGCTAACACGTAACGTTTTGTAGCCCGTTATAACTTTAGTGGCAGGAACAAATCAAGCGTTCAGTTTCTCATCAGGTGGGAGGGGCCGATGGCAGTATTCAGCCGCTCGCGGCGCCATTAAGTCGCCCGGCGGCGAAAGGGGAGGTCGGTCGGGAAAAAGCGAACGCTATGGTCGTTCCCCCCTGGCCAGCATTCGCCGCTGCCCGCGCGCCCCGTTTGATGTATTTCTTATCAAATGTGGAGTTCGCTTTTCTGGAGGCGTACGCGTGAATAAGTCAGTCACTCGACCGCCTCTTTGTTCGGGCCCAGGTAAAGAAATGCGGCTCTCCTAAGTGAACCAACATGTGTCATCTGCTCAAAGAGAACTCACGGCACAAGGCCCGCTCGCTGAAAGTGAATACACTACGCTTTCGCCATTTGGTCAGATCAGGAGGTCCCCAGAGAGAGCATACACGTATATTAGACTAATAATTAATCGTCTTCTTGATCGTCAAATAGTAACATCGCTGTAGAAACTGCTTCTCTCCCATATTCCATTTTCTATTCTTTTCTATGCTACTGAATATGTTTCTAATGTTCCTCTCCGTTTGAACTGCTTCTTTGCTTCAAACAAGCTGCTGTGCTCTCACATTTGTGTTTCATTAGGGTGGCATCGTCAGCGAGTTAACTTAATATATAGGATCGTTATAACTCGACGAATCAACGTTTTTATCTTGCCAGCAGATGCTCTCTTTCATTATCAATTCCCCTTGTAAGTACCAAAGGAGAAGTACAACGGGTCGCACTAGGCAAAAATAACTGCTATATAATCACTCTGATCATATGCTTCCTTTTCATGCGATATCAAGGGTGAAAATAAATTATTTACATAAATACAACTGAAAAGGAAATTAGTCATTTAACATATGAAAAAGTTGTACATTACAATTGACAAATATTGTTAAACTATTTCCACTTCATTACTTTTTTAAAGCTAGGGATCGCTGAGCATTTCATGCTAAAAGCCTACAATTAAATCATTTTTTTAAAATCAATTACTTAACAGTTAATTTTTTTTCAATAAAACCTAACTTCTCTTTTAAAATGCATATTTCATATTTCACCACGACTACATAAAATTAAATGTAATCAGTTCTGTACAAAACGAAGCAACAATACTTCTACTGAATATGCGATGCTTTCGTACCAACTGCTTGTTTTAATATACATTTTTCTTTCCGTTTCAAATAATGAGAGAAATATAATTTCAAAATTACACTTCTACCGTCGTTACGTGTATAATCAGTGATATCCTACTTCTCCTCGCACTTTCTCCGGTGAGTCAAGGCCGCAGGACCTCTGGTAATAATGGGTGTAGTCTCAGTGACGCAATCCGCGTCCCCTGCCCCGAGAGCCGTGAACTGGTTCAGCGCGCGGGGCGCCGGGCCGCGCCGGCCGGAGGCGACTGCAATTGTCTCCACAGCAATACCCAGGATTCATATCCTCGCGCTGACGGCTGGGGGTTTCTTTCCGTAAGTAGAAATGCAGAGCTAGATGGCGTTTTCATGATGCTTATGTAACCTCCGAGAAATAATTTGTTTAGTAAGAAGGTAGAAAATCGTATTTGTTCGAACTGTGATCCAATTGTATTCTTTGAGTATTATAAATTGAAGCAACTTCTTAAAATGATTTAAGAATAATTAAACTCAAATATAGAATGCAATTTTGGAAAATTGAGAGAGTTCAGCAAAAATGGAATGTGCCGCATTTTGATAATTTTTATTTTCTCGCACTTACTTCGGAAGAAAGGAAAGTAATATAATCGTGCGCCGTAAAACTCTTATTGCCGGACCCTGGAAACGAAAAAGTGAAAAAATCCTGTACTCACAATGGTGAAGGTCTTTTATACGTAAATATCCCTCACTTTCGAGAATTGCAAAGTGCAATTTTTGGGAGCGTTTTGGTACAACTGCAATATTGAATATAAAGAGTTTTTCTTTAATGAAATCTGTTTTTAAGGACAGATCTTGAAATCAAGTCGTGTTCAACTTTTCGAAAATATTTGTATTTTCGTGTAATTTTGCCTGAATTATACGCATTTTTCAAACAATTTTTTTGTCAACTACCTCCCCCATTTTGTTTTTCAATTTATTTTCACAGATAGAAGGGACGCTTAAAAGAATGGTACTGTCTCATTTTCTTTGACCTGCCTGAATTTTGTAAAAATGCAAATTTAGAATTAATGCGAGATAATATGTGCTGTTGTAGCGCCACCAGTTTTTAATTGTGTTCACTTCAAGCAAAAATTAATCTACAAAACTCATCTAAAAATTCTCCAAAAATTTCTAAAAATTGAGCATGACCTTATTTAGTGATCTATTGTTCATAACAGATTTCATGAAGGTAAAAGTATCTATTATTATTATGTACTTTTACAATATTAATTTTGTGCATTTTTTGAAAATTCAAAGAACACGCCGGAAATGGAGTCTGGAACGACTGTTAAGCGTCCTTTGCTCTATGATAAATTTGAAGTCATTTTTGAGACGGCGACAGACATTTTGCACTAAACCAACTGTTTAGAAATTATCTACATTTCACGCAAAACTATGCGAAAACTACTTATATATTCGAAAAATTGTAGAAGAACGTATCTCAGAAATCAATCATCAAAAAATGTTGAGCGCTTTTCCAGAAAATTGTGAAAATGTTAATACTTTATGTAAAGTACTCCATATATATGTTTCAAATTCACAAGGCACCGAGTTCGCCCTGGACGATCGTGGAATATCAATTTTGAAGAAACTCGTCTGCGCGCTTTTACTGTTGACCACAGACGGCGACATGCATTTTGCACTAAACCAATTTTTCGTTGTCAAAGACTCTGGAAACGTGGATTCCGACTACACTATGTTTTAGAGGAAGATTTTTACTATAAACCACTGTACAAGATGGTTCGGTACCAGGGCCCCATAATACGAATTTTTCTGTCAAGGAATCTTTACATAGCAGCATTATAATACTTTCTTACAATGGAAGTACGTAGTACGTGAGAAAGTAAATATTAAAACGTTAAAATATCGGGTAGTGTTTGGTATGCACCATTTCTCGGATGGCTAGGAATCAGCTCATGAAGTGTGTTTAGAAACTGAAGGCTCGGGTTTCATGATACATCGGATGTGAAAAAACAAATGTTGCAAATAAGTATTTTCGAAACTTAGCATAAGACAAAAATATTGCTTAGTTATTAGAATCTTCTAAGTATTATAGAAGATATTTCAGTACAAAAGGCGAAACCGATATATGCAAATCAAGTGCTTATTTTCATCAGATGTCATCAGTGCGCAGTTACCACGTGATAGACAGTCCTTTTTTCCTGTCATCGAAAAACAATATTCAATAATTCAAATATGAGAGGCTGTTGAATATATCAGATATCACTGAAATATATAGATGCCCACAATTTTAGTTTTTGTACTGATGTGTTCAATTTAGCCACTGTTCATCCTTCAGCGAATCAACGAAATGTTTTTGACATATTTTTGTAAAATTTCAAAATTATTTATTTTTATTCTATTAATTCCTTTGTTTGAAGACGAGTTTCAATTGTTGTCACGTGTGGATTGTTGTAAAACCTCGATTTTTGTAATATTCTCTTTCGCGAAGAAAATTGTTTTAAAATTTTGTTTTTCTTCCCTGAGAATACAGATCCCCATATACACATGAGTGTGTTTGTTTCCTTTTAAATTATATCTCGACATTTTAATGTTGTTAGTACCTAAGGCGTCCTTTTCGACCCACACATTTTGTGTGTAGTAAAACTGAACGACGCGGCAGAGTTAAGACTGTGCCCCCACATTCTTTCTATTTCTAATGTGTAAATGAAAGATGATCAGTTCGACACTCCTCAGAACACTAATTGTCTTATATATACAATCTAACTTGAATTCTTTTTCAGACAATTGTTGATATTTGATAATATATAATTATATCCTATTGATTCCTATTTTCTGTTATGTAACGTCAGGCATTTTGATCGTTATTTTAATCTACTACACATTTTTAATTCATCAGTGTATTGGCTGAGCGCAAGTTTGCTGTCATTGATATAATTTAACAAAAGAGTAGTAAATTTTAGAATAATTGAATTTGAAATTAAAGAGGTGTAAAGAAGCGCTTTAAAAATGAATTTAAATGTAAATCATCAAATTAAAATAGTCGAAACATCATTCTGGAGACCCATAAATGGATAAATTATTCTTGTAATATAATTACGAGTATAATACTCGTCAGCAACAAAAATGATATGCATACTGCATATAGTATATTA